CTATACAGCTGGGCGGGTGCTATGATGTTAATGATGTTGAACTTGTTTTATCTTATTTTATTTATAAGGTTAGTTATTAGAGCTTCCAACCGTCCCGTAAAAAACAGAGTTGTCTGGTATTCAGAGAAAATATTGTGCGTTTAGTATTGAGGTAAAAAGGAACAGTTTGTCCCGGACTTCAGCTACAATGGAAAAGACACAAAGCTGGAGTTAATCTGTGTCTTTGCTGCACAGCTGCCTCTTCTTCTCTCATTCTCTCCCCCTCCCTCTCCTGTTTCTACTTCAATCATGAAACTGATCATTGATCAGCTGATCGGCTTTTCTCTCTTGTTTGTTTATTGCCCACTTTGCGCCAGAAAGAGGAAACCAGCGGATGTCGCACTAAACAACAGCAGCACGTTTAAGCTTAATCAGCTGTTGTTAGAATTTATTTAAGTTATGAACTGTTTCTGAGAGACGAATAACACCAGGATCCTTTTCTAAGTAGCTGACAGTTGGTAACTGTGCAGGGGCGGGTCTAGGAAAAGTTTCAGTTAGGGCATTAACAGGGAAAGGGGGGCACAAAGAAATACTTTTCTTTCTTATTCTCATTTAAAATGTCTCGCTTTTAACAAATAGTTATCTGAATCTTACAACAAACGTTTTCAACTGATGTAAAATGTATAGAAATCCTTTATTGTATATAGTAATATTTTTAGGGTCCCATCATAATTTCTTCAGAAGTAGCTAAGTACTGTATATGATGCCAGCATTTTCCCACATTTTCTTTACCAGTACTGTGTGTAAAATGCCATCAAAAAGTCAATTAAGTTTTATTCTTTCTCACCTGTCTTTCTGTCTCCTTTCACTTTTTAAAGGTTAGAAAAAATATTTTGCCCTGCCATGCTGTTTATTGATGTGGCAAATGAATGGTTTAAGAAAATATATCTAAATCTGTCATCAGTAATCATTAATGATCATGTCTCACCTCTAGTCTTCTCTGTCTTAATTTCAGGTTTTCACCATGTGTTGTAGATAGTTCAGGAGGTTAACTCGACTAAGCCGTCTACTTTCGGGTACTGTTTAGAATACCAGAATAGGGAAGATGGTGTAGGTTTAAGTTTATTAGACTGTATATACCAACAAGACAGTGTACATCACTGTGACAGCAGCGTTTGTTTTCATTCAAAGGATTTATGGTTTTTCCTATAATACCTGGTGGGCCGGTCTCTAGTCAAAATGCCCGGGCCGATTTTTTGTCCCAGTCCAGCCCTGCCAGGATCCTCTCCTTATCAAGCACCACCTGTTCCCCACTCATACAGTACCAGCTTGTCATTCACACAGTAAGCCTGTGCTGAAATCAATCCATCAAAAAATAAAAAACATATACCCTATATTATATAGGATAATATATGCTATATTATAACATTCTATATAGCGTATATTATAATCTGAATATAGACTTATACAGCTGAACGTCTTGTTGGAAATCATCAGAGAAATCACCCACTGCTGGCCATTAGAAAAAAGAGAGGTTTAAGACACTTCCATAAAGATTTTAACTTGATATGAAAAGTAACATTTGGTGGTGTACTGGTGAAAATATGTGTTAAAAGTAGTGATGGGCATTTCAAGAAAAAGTGCAGGTTTTACTGGGAATTCTTTTAATGAATTTTTTGGTTCTTTCTATATCATGCCCACCCCAAAGTGGTGTCAAATGTGAGTGCATAGTTTAAGAGAAATTCAAGTCCTAACTGCAGAGCACCACACATGCTTTACTGGTGTGATGCATGCAGTCAGAAATGTGTTCCTCTATTTTTGTCGCTTAATGGACTCAGCAGACAACCTCTAGGTGCATTCATGGGAAAATATTGGCAATGAAAAACAGATTTTAGACAAAAAAAACAGCTACAAAAACTTTTTTTTGTTAAAATTTTTTAGTATTTGAAAATTTGCAAAAAAACATTATGCAGCTCTTTTTTTTATTTATTGATGAATGTTGAAGAATATAAATGCAGAAGTGTTTGTGCTTCTGAATCTCTTCACCATCAGTCTTTTTCATCAGTCAAATTACTTACAAAAGCTTGTACAGTCACACGCCTTGCTTGATTTGAACAATAATTGTGTGGTAATTTCATTGTTGCTACTTAACTCGATTCTTATTGGTCCAATAATCACTGAATAGGTGAACAGATTGATAAATGACAGGTAAAGAGGTACGATGTGATTAATTGCCATAATTTACCATATTGCTACATCCTTGGCAACTGAGTGATGTCCTGCTGCCAGCTTACCACCTGTGTCATTCAGTCTGGGCATTCATAAATGTGCCCTCCGGCATCAAAATTTGAACATGGGCCAAAAGAACAGAAATATGTATGGAGATGTCAGCTGAAGTTAGAGGCAACTGCCAGTTCTCTCACAAGATTAAATGCACTCTAAATCTAAAGCTACTCCTGCCTTTTACAATCACCTGCTCAAACTCCCAAAACTAAACTTTTCTTTCTCTTTCTTTCTTTCTTTCTTTCTTTCTTTCTTTCTTTCTTTCTTTCTTTCTTTCTTTCTTCCACCAAGACTCTCTTACAGTGTAAGAGAGTCTTGGTGGAAGTGGTAATTACAGGATGTTAGCTGAGCAAGCAGTCAGCACAAGTATGGTCATTTTTTTTTAAAAGAATGA